GATTTTCTTCTACTTGTTTTTCAATTTTTTTGTTTCAATTTGTGTCTATTCCCGGCTCTTATATTTATCGTTTTCTAAATTTCTTCAAGGGTCGTTTTATTCATCTTCTGCTAAACTGTCAGGTATGTAATCTGACGGATAAAAACGCAATCTTTAATCCCATTGGTCGGCCAGTTATCCGTCGACCAGTAGAATTATAGAACGGTTTTATCTTGCAGATAGTTACCAGCAAGTTTATCTAAAGATGAATAAACTACTGGAAATGTCCTCTGTCTATTTCTCAATTTTTTGTGCCTAACTTTTTGTCTATTCCCGGCTCTTGAAATTTTGTTTTCTTCAAAGAGGCGGTTCAAGGTTGTTTAAGAGGTAGGTTGCCTACGGTTGCCTGATAACTTTTATGACGTCATCTGGGGTGACACAACATAATGCAAACCTCCATAAGGTACCCCAAATGACGTCAGCAAGTTACCTATTACCAGAAGACCTATTAAGTTCAGGAACCTTGGAGGCAGTTTATTCACCTTCTAATAAACTGTGTGACAAGTGTCAAATGTCAAAATCGATTTCGACAGATTAGGACGTCAGCTGTCGAACGCATTTTTTGACAGGTCCAAAAAATTTTAAATATTTTACATTTCTATCACATAAATTATTCGAAAAATTAAAAGAAAATAATTTGACAGGTGTCAAATCAAAATCGATTTTGATAGAATAAGTCATTGCCTATTGAACGCACTTTATCTCGAAATTTTCTGACATCTCCTTGTTAATTTTTTCGTGGAAAACATAGACAAAATGACACCTGTCAAATTTTTTGACAGGTCCAAAAAATTTTAAATATTATTTTACATATCTATCACATAAATTATTCGAAAAATTAAAAGAAAAAAATTTTGACAGGTGTCAAATGTCAAAATCGATTTTGACATATTAAGACGTCAGCTATCGAACGCACTTTATCTCAAAATTTTCTGACATCTGCTTGTCAGTTTTTTCGGAGAAAACATAGACAAAATGGCACCTGTCATATTTTTTGACAGGTGAAAAAAATTGTAGAAATTTTTTTACATATCTATCACATAAATTATTCGAAAAATTAAAAGTAAAAAAAAATCACAGGTGTCAAATGTCAAAATCGATTTTGACAGATTAGGACGTCAGTTATCGAACACACTTTATTTCAAATTTTTCTGACATCTCCTTGTTACTTTTTTCTGAGGAAATATAGACAAAATGACACCTGTCAAATTTTTTAACAGTTGAAAAAAATTGTAAATTTTTTTTTAAATATCTATCACATAAATTATTCGAAAAATTAAAAGAAAAAAAATTTGAGAGATAAAAAAAAACAAATGTCAAAATCGATTTTGACAGATTAAGACGTCAGCTATCGAACGCACTTTATTTCAAATTTTTCTGACATCTCCTTGTCACTTTTTTCGGGGAAAACTTAAACAAAATGACATCTGTCAAATTTTTTGACAGGTGAAAAAAATTGTAATTTTTTTTTGCATATCTATCACATAAATTATTCGAAAACTTGAAAGAAAAAAAAATTTGACAAGTGACAAATGTCAAAATCGATTTTGACAGATTAGGACGTCAGCTATCGAACGCACTTTATCGCGAAATTTTCTGACATCTCCTTGTCACTTTTTTCGGGGGAAATATAAACAAAATGACATCTGTCAAATTTTTTGACAGGTCCAAAATCGATTTTGACATTTGACACCTGTCAAATTTTGTTTGTTTGAATTTCTCGAATAATTTATGTGATAGGTATGTAAAAAAAATGTTTAAATTTTTTTGGATCTGTCAAAAAATTTGATAAGTGACATTTTGTCTATGTTTCCCCCGAAAAAAGTGAAAAGGAAATGTCAGAAAAATTTGAAATAAAGTGCGTTCGACAGCTGACAGATTAGGACATCAGCTATCGAACGCACTTTATCTCGAAATTTTCTGACATCTCCTTGTCCCTTTTTTTGGGGGAAACATAAAAAAAATGACACCTGTCACATTTTTTGACAGGTGAATAAAATTCTTGTATAAATACGCCCGCAGGGCGTACAAATTAAAACGCCCGCGAAGTGTATGTATCATTACGCCCGCAGGGCGTGATACACCCGTATTAGGACTATATGTAAAAAAAAATTACAATTTTTTTTCACCTGTCAAAAAATTTGACAGGTGTTATTTTGTTTATATTTTTCCCGAAAAAAGTGACAAGAAGATGTCAGAAAATTTCGAGATAAAGTGCGTTCAATAGGCCATGACTTATTCTGTCAAAATCGATTTTGACTTTTGACACCTGTCAAATTATTTTCTTTTAATTTTTCAAATAATTTATGTGATAGATATGTAAAATAATATTTGAAATTTTTTGGACCTATCAAAAAATGCGTTCGACAGCTGACGTCCTAATCTGTCAAGGTCGATTTTGACATTTGACACCTGTCATTTTTTAGTCTTTCAATTTTTCGAATAATTTATGTGATAGATATGTAAAATAATATTTAAAATTTTTTGGATTGGTCAAAAAATTTGACGGGTGTCATTTTGTCTATGTTTCCCTCGAAAAAAGTGACAAGGAGATGTCAGAAAAATTCGAAATAAAGTGCGTTCGACAGCTGACGTCCTAATTTTCAAAATCAATTTTGACATTTGACACCTGTCCCCTAGAGGGGGACATGTAATGTAATCTCATTGGTCGGTCAGTTATCCGTCGACAAAATTATAGAATGGTAAATTTATCTTGTAGATAGTTACCAGCAAGTTTATCTTAAGATGAATAAACCGGAAATGTCCTCTAGCTATTAGACAATTCAAATCAGCTGATTATTCAAGATGGCGACATGGGCATAACAAACTTGACGACCGTGAAGGAGCTTTTACATTAAATTATGGCTGTCAGGGTCCTTATTCTTGAATTGTAACAGGGGAGCAACGTTCCTAGGAGAACGAGTGTTTCGTCTTTCTCAATGATATGCAAATGATAATATGAGTAACAAAGATGGAATACTCGTTCTCCCGGGAACGCTGCTCCCCTGTTTCAAAAATAAGGACCCTTTTGTGTTATTCTTACTGTGCCATATTGAATTAAAAGACCGTCAAATCCAAGGATGATACACAACACACTACTAATACAGGATAGCCTATCCTCATAAAACCTTTGTGGAACAAATCTCCCTCTTCTCCCTTTCATGCGAAATCACCAGTTGTGACGCAGGTAGCATGTTATTTTTTGCCTTAAATTAGGCTGTTTAAACAGATGACAACTTGGTTATGACGTCGGAAATGGTGATACACCAATATAATATGGCGGTGATTACCAAAAACCAGGCCGATAAGCAATTTTTTTAGTCTTGGCTCCTGAAGTTTCGTTTTTTTCTAAAGGGTGTTTATTCACCTTCTGATAAACTGTCAAGTATGCAGTTTGACAGATCAAAACGCAATCTGTAATCCCATTGGTCGACCAGTTATGTGTCGACCAATAGAATTAAAACATGATAAATTTATCTTGCAGATAGCTACCAGCAAGTTTATCGAAAGATGAATAAACCACAAATGTTCTCTGTCTATTGGGCAATTCGAATCAGCTGATAATTAAAGATGGCGACGTGGGCATAACAAACTCGACGACCATGAAGGTGCCTTTATATTTAATTCCAATTGTTTGCAATTCTACTGGAAATTAGATGTACACCTGCCTTTACGGTTATCAGGTGTGTTTTTCCTACGGCGCCATATTGAGGTGGTTTATTCACTTGGTGATATATAAACTGTCAGGCATGCAATTTGACGGATCAGAACATAATTATAGAACGGTAAATTTATCTTGCAGATAGTTACCAGCAAGTTTATCTAAGGATGAATAAACTAGACTTGAATAGAGGAAATTCGAGAGCCTAGAATAAAAAAAAAACATGTCTGCTTCTGTATCACTTTTTGATGTGAAACTTCTTAGGTGGCGGTTTGAGAGAGAAGAAAAATATAACGTAAAGAGACTGAGACAGAGAAAAACAGCTATTGATTGACTCAAACTAAGGATTGCCTATTATTGAAAAGCGCCGATACCTTTGTGACGTCACTACAGATGTGCGTCTCTTTTCGTTTTTACCCCGACTCATAGGCTAAGTTTAAAATTAAGTTCTATGGAAGGGGGATAGTTTTTCGTCTTTTTATAAGGACGATTTAAGGCCTGTTTCCACAGAAATCACAAACCAGTCAAAACGTTTTTGATTGGTCCAAATCGCCAAAAACCAGTTTCCTGACTATTTTCAACCAATGAAATTCGCTCCGACTGGTTTGTGATTTTTGTAGAAACAGACCTTCTGATAAACTGTCAGGCTCAAATATAGAGTTATCGAATGGTAAATTTATTAAGCAGATAGTTACCAGCAAGTTTATCTAAAGATAAATAAACCTGGCTTAAATGGAGGAAATTCGAGAGCCTGGAATAGAAAAAACATGTCTACTTGTGTATCAATTTTTTTTTTCTATATTTCTCAAATGTTTTTCTATTCTTGACTCTCTTTTTGGTTTTGGTCTAATTTTCCCTTATAACAGCGAATTCTATTGGTTGAACTAATGCAGAAAAAAATGTATTTTTATCTCTTTCTTATACAAACTAATAGAAAAAGACATTATTACACTCGGTTCGCACTAATTCTTCCAAAATTTCAAGAGCCTGGGAATATAAAAAAAAAATTGTCCACACAGATTTTTCTTATTTAATTGAAATAAAATTTGGCAACATCGCATCTCGAAATGTCAAAAGACCTTAGAAATCGTCACCATGTGCCATTTAATTCACGACATACGTAACTCGCACTAATACAAATTTTAACACGTGTTAGAAAGAGACAGAAAATAAAAAAAGGCGCGATTTATTGAACAATTATTTTCCACTTCCAGCAGACAAACCTAACCTTTTTAATTTTAAGAATTTATTTTCAGTTTTTCCTAAAATATATAAAGCAAAATCCTATTTTCTTGTTTACCTTTTTCCAGTCTCAGTTTTTCTTGGGCGGCCTCTTGTGCACTCAAATCGCCGGGGCGCAGCACCACCACTTGGGGCTGTTCTTCTTCGCCGTCCAAAAAGTCCTCGTCGCCGGCCCTTTCCAAATCTTCCCTCTACAATAATTAATTATTTAAAAATGTTAAAAGTGTTAAACAACATAACCTACTTTGGTGTTAACAGTGGGGCCTTCTTTGTATCCAATTTGTTGTTTGAGTTTTCTCAAAAAACTAGGCTCGTCCGGTTTAACGTAGGCGATATTGTGCTTCTTGGGCATTGCACATTCGTAAACGATTTTAATTTAATTTAAATTTAAGAAAAATTCACACGTAGACACACACACGTTAAGGGCAAACAACGAGCTAAAAGAGAGTACTCCTTTTTCTCCTATAAGCTAAGAGAGCGTTTTCGCCTGGTCGCGAGTTTCCAAATAGCCCATTGGTTTATTTGGTGTCACGTGATTGGCGAAGGCAACGCGAAAACTCTCCAGGACGTTTCGAAAGTTTTGGTTATTGCCTTCCCCCATATATTTTATTTTTGCGTTTTACTTTTACTAGTTTTAAAACCCAAACTCTCTGTCCCGTTTGGTTTTTGCCACAACGTCGGCGAGATAATTTGGTTTTTTTGTATTAATTTTATATTAGACTTTATTTATTGTTACCAGAATCACTTTTGTATTACATAATTTCTTTCAATTATTGAAACTTAAAAAAAGTTGTACAAATAATTGTCGCTGATTTAAAAGCAATTTTTTCAGTTAGTTTAATTTGTTATTAACAAATAATATAAATATATCTATTTAAAAACCACCTCTTGCTTGTTTATTTATCTTAACTTTAGGTTTTGTTGCAGTTTCTATTGTGATAACTTTTATCCTTCAGCATTATTGTATTTATTTATTTACCATATTCTTAAATTATGTAGGTAATGTCTAAAAATATCTATCTTGAATTCAGTTAGTGGGCAATTAACATTAATTATTGAAGAAATTACATCAGATCTGATATGGATAACTTATATAAGATAATGATACACACTTGAATTTTAGTCTAAATGGAAGACTCCCTAATCTTATCATCTGAACTTTTAAAAAAATACTTCCTTCTACAATAAAAAGTTTTTCCATAGCAGAAATTGATAGTTTCAAATTCTGCTATCTCTTGCTCCTATTACTGTTATTTTGTCAATGAAATACATACATTTGCACAATAAAGCTCACAGTAATATCTTTGGGCATATAATAGCAGATTGTGAATTATAAAATCTTGATTTTTTGTAAAACTGGTTCTTTGAAGTTTTCCTTTTGTTACTCTCGAGCATCTCTTCTTTTCCCGGATATTCTTTTTGTATTACCGATTCTGGTGTTTTTTCATCTATATTCTAATATTAAAAAAAAAAATCCAAAGGATAAAGGAGCCACAGATAATCAAAATTTGAACTATTACCGGCTCTTGATTTTCTAGAAATCCATCCTAGAGCCAATCAAGAGCCGGTAATAGTCAAAACTTGAACTGTTATCGACTCTGGATTCGCTAGAGAATTTTTCTAAAGACATTCAAAGCTCAAGAGCCGATAATAATCAAAATTTCGAATGATCATTAGCACCTCTTGAGTTCATATTAATCAAACTTTCTTCTTCCGTAAATTCTAATTTGCCCAAGAAAAATTATCCAATCGATCAATGGAGTCACAGATAATCAAAATTTGAACTATTACCGGCTCTTGATTTCTTCGGAAATCCTTCCTAGAGCTAATAATGGTAGGTGGTAGACGCTTTTTACTCATTGGGCGTCGACCGGTGAGATACCACCATGCCAGAATTGAGTAGCGCTAAGTGGTATCACCACGTTCCGCTACTGCGCTGGCAGTCCGGTTCCAACAATGAGTAACAGATAGCATGATGGCGCCTCCAGGATCAAAATATTCCGGAGGTAAAATACCCGACCACTCGGATCTCCGGGCGTCGGGTGATCCTGGGGGTCCTTCATGCAAAGATATAAAGAGAATATCAAAAACTCAACTCAGAATTGATTTTAGCAATATAAGAGGAATAAGTACAAATATGAATTCAGTTCACCAACATCTTGAAGAACAAAGACCTGACATCCTTGTTCTCACTGAAACTAAAATCAGTTCTGCAACACCTATTGTGAACTATCTTTATCCCGGCTATGACCTACACCACCGATTTCGACATAATTTTGGGATCTGTGTGTACATTAAAAATGACCTTTCATGTCATCGAGAGGAGAAGCTAGAACCAGCGAACCTTGATATCATATGGCTAAAATTCACCTCAAAGTCATCGACCAAGTTTATCTGCTGCCTCTACCGACCGCCATCTAACACCGAGTACCAAAACTTTTTCGCGACATTATCCGAAAGCTGTGATAGTATACAGTCAAACTATCCACAGGCGGAAATTGTCTTTTTAGGCGATTTCAACGTCCACAATATACCCTGGCTGAAACACCACAATAAAACAGTTAACGAAGGCAGAGAAGCAGAAGCTTTTGCCATAAGTTGTGGTCTAACGCAGCTTGTCGATGAACCTACCCGTATCTCAGAAAGGGGCGAATTTGCAGCGCTTTTAGACTTGTTCCTAACCACCAATCCTGACTCGTACACAATTCAAGTAGATGCTCCACTTGGTTCGTCCGATCATAAACTTATAATAACAAAGTGCGAAATGCTCATCCCACCAAGCCTACAACCACTTCCTCGTAAAATGTGGCACTATAAATCGGCAAAATGGAATGACCTAAAACAGTATTACCTGGATTTTCCATGGCAAGAGGTTTGCTTTAAAACAGCTGATCCCACTATTTGCTGTAATGAAATAACACAAGTAATCTTATCTGGAATGGACGCATATATCCCACATACAACTAAACGTAGAGCTAATGCAAAACCTTGGTTCAACAGCCAGTGTCAAACGGCTGTACAGGAAAAACACAGAGAATATAACCTTTGGAAACGACAGCAAACCGCTCAAAACCACACAGAATTTATAGAAGCCAGAAATAGTTGCAAAATTACTATTGACTCCGCTAAAGAAACATACAATCAAAGAATAAAAAACAGGTTGCTGAATTGTCCAAGTAGTTCTAGGTCTTTTTGGTCTCTTGCAAAAGCTGTTGGATCTAACTTCACCAAGTCATCCATACCACCACTTACAGATAAAAATAATCAGTTAGCCACAACATCAGAGGAAAAAGCCAATATGCTTGCCCAAATGTTTTCCTCCAACTCCAACCTAACAGTGCCAAACGGAAAAACTCCACCGTTCATTGAAAGGGTTTCCCATAGTATGCCAGAGGTACCCTTTTGTCACAGAGAAATACGAAAATCCCTAAAAAAGCTGGATACAAACAAAGCAATGGGTCCGGATGGCATTCCCGCAATAATACTCAAAAATTGCGCCAACGAACTCACCCCAACTTTCGCAAAATTATTCAATTTGTCTTACAGGCAAGGAGTATATCCATCATCATGGAAGTCTGCCGCAGTACAACCCATTCCAAAGAAAGGAAAAAAGACAGATCCGTTAAACTATAGACCAATTGCTCTACTTCCGGTGATATCAAAAGTAATGGAAAGAGTTGTGAACAATCACCTAACCAAGTACTTGGAAAAGTACAAAATTATCAACGATAAGCAATACGGATTTCGAAAATATAGGTCAACTGGCGATTTACTTACATACGTCACTCACTTATGGCAAAAAGCGATTGAGTTGCGGGGTGAAACAAGAACAATTGCTTTAGATATATCTAAAGCATTCGACAAAGTTTGGCATGAAAATCTGCTCAACAAGCTCAAAGCAATGGGATTATCGCCGAAACTTTGCACTTGGTTTGAAAGTTACCTAAAGGACAGATCCATTTATGTTGCACTGGATGGCCAGAACTCCAACTCTTACCAAATAAATGCTGGTGTGCCACAGGGAGCAATCCTTTCGCCAACTCTTTTCCTGATTTACATAAATGACCTCATAGATAAAACAGTAAATCCACTTTATTGCTTTGCAGACGATGGCAATGTAGTCTCCTCACTCATACCACCCACAGGTGTTTCCGCACGTGAATTCCATCATCTTAGACTAACTCAAATATCGCAGATAAATAACGACCTGGAGATAATAGAGGACTGGGGTAACAAAAACCTTGTACAGTTCAACGCGCAGAAAACCCAAGCAGCTCTGTTTTCAAAAAAGACCAGCACCGGTGAGCCAAACATCATGCTATCTGGAAGTGCTGTCACATTACAGAGTCAGTTGAACATCTTGGGGGTTACTGCAGAGACGAACATGTCTTGGCACAGTCACGTGGCAGATATTGCTAAAAGGGCCTCCCAAAAGCTGGGGGTGCTATTTCGTACAAGACATCTGTACACACCAAGCCAATTGCTGACACTCTACAAAGCCCAGATTCGACCAACTATGGAGTACTGCTCACATATATGGAGTGCTGCACCCAAACATACCTTAATGCTTTTGAATACCGTGCAAAAACGAGCTATCAAGCTGATCAATGACCCCGCACTTACTCGTAACTTGGATGGTCTCGAACATCGCAAATCTGTGGGCGACTTATCTCTCTTCTACAGGTACTATCACGGAAAATGCTCTGAAGAGTTGGCACGTATGATTCCACCGAGAGTAGCACCTACCAGGCGAACCCGTCAAACAGACGGTAACCATGAATTTACTGTCAAACTAGAGGCACCAAGAACCTCATTATATCAGAATTCATATCTCTGGAGAACAGCATCGCTGTGGAATAAACTCCCTGCGACGGTTTTCCCTGCAGGTTACAACCTGAACCGTTTCAAGACCAACATACACCGACATTTCCGCGCACTTGCCGCTTCTCGAGCGTGATAGGACATTGTCCTTGCGAGTGCGCATATCCGTAAAAAAAAAAAAAAAAAAAAATCAGGAGGCGGTAATAGTCAAAATTTGACCTTTTATCAACTCTGGATTCGCTAGAGTATTTTTCTGATAACACAGGATTTTCCTGAAATATCTCACCAATGTATCATGAAAGTATGAATGTCCAATACATTCCCAGATTGTTTTAGATAGAATATTACTGGAATAATTAGCTGCAAAGTTCAAGGAACCTTAATTCTACCTGAACAAAGACATCGACGAAATAAAGAAGGCATTGTCTCAAATGAAAATCAACAAGACACCTGGATGAGAGGATAGATTGACAACGGAAATGTTTAAAATGGCGGAGAACCTCTACTGGACAGAATAAAGGAATTCTTTAA